TGGGTGTAACACCGGGGGTTGGGCCGTGTTTGGGTGTAACACCGGGGGTTGGGTCGTGTTTGGTGTAACACCGGGGGTTGGGCCGTGTCTGGGTGTAACACCGGGGGTGTGGCCGTGTTTGGGTGTAACACCGGGGGTTGGGCCGTGTTTGGGTGTAACACCGGGGGTTGGGCCGTGTTTGGGTGTAACACCAGTGGATTTGTGCTGGAATTTGAAATATAATTTCAGGATTTTAGGTTTGTAAGTTAAGGTTTAGAATTGAATGCGGGATTTGATTTGAGATTTTGGAAAAGGTTTCTAAACTTAAGTGTAAGAAGTACGAATGTGGATTTATAGTTTAAAGCAGAGACACGTTAAGTAAAGATTAGTGTTTTAAAACTCAAGATGTAGAAAAAATAAAAGTAGTCATAAAAGTAATCAATAAATTTAAAATACAGTACTGTAAGTTTGTGTGTTATAATTAATTAACAAACTTACACTGTAACATGAATCTACAAGATAAAATATTCAAAGATTATTGTCTTGTTGGCAGTGTTTTATTAGTTAATAAATATTTAAAAGGTTTGTAATGGGAAGTCTTGTGTCCTTCTGAACTACACTACGGAGATGTCAGCTGAACTCACCTTTCTTACTTATGTAAGACACAAAAACAATAAACCACATCTTCAAGAATGATTCACAGGTCTCATCTCAACTCAGAACTCCTCACAGCTCCCGATCAGGAGATTCGGCTGGAATTTGGGTTGTTGCAGGTCGAACAGCTCCTGGTTTGAGGTGGGGAGGACAGGAGGCAACAGCAGGGCCTGCACGTCCTCCGGCAGAAGGAACAAGCGCTGCAGGAACAGGCGGAGCACGGCAGGCGGATCCCCCTCGGGGACACCTCTGCAGACACAAACACGCTCCTGTCAGGACAACTCATCCTTCGAAACCCCATCGGAGCAAGGTCCAACACAGAGGACCTGCCCAGGGCCTGCCACAGCGTCTCGGGCGCTCCTGGGTGTGGAAACGCAGCGCCGATGCTCCAGGGCTTTGAATGGATCGAATTGCTACGAGTCAGGAGGCCTAAACTCGGTTTATTTCTGAGAAAACGTCACATGCAGGTGGGGAATGACAGGAGCTCCTGCACCTGAGCACAGCGACGCGCCCAGCTACAGCCTCTCGGCAGAGCTCTCAGGGCTCCACTGACTTCGCAGACCACAAAGGTGTGAAATGGATTGTAGGGGTTGTAGAGAGCAGTGCAGGGTGTCACATGCGTGAGAAATTGAGTTTTTAGGATTTTAAGTGTGGTGTAGATGGGTTCAGGATGGAGGGTGCAGGGTGCTGTCTCACGTTCCTTTATTCTCTCTTCTTCCTCCTTCTTGGGTTTGGCTATCTTGTAATTGGGTAGGAAAATCTGCATTCATTGGGATCTCTATGGTCACAGAGTCCTCGTTTTTCACTTTTTCATTGGGATCTCCGTATGAAGTCCTTGTTTTTCACCGTTTCATTGAGATCTCTTGATGAAATTCTTATTTTCCACTGTTTAATTGGGATCTCCTTATGAAATCCTTGTTTTTCACCATTTCATTGGGATCTCCTTATGAAGTCCTCGTTTTTCACTGTTTCATTGGGATCTCTTTATGAAATCCTTGTTCTTCACTGTTTCATTGGGATCTCCTTATGAAGCCCTTGTTTTTCACTGTTTTATTGGGATCTCCTTATGAAATCCTTGTTTTTCACTGTTTCATTGGGATCTCCTTATGAAGCCCTTGTTTTTTACTGTTTCATTGGGATCTGTTTATGAAATCCTTGTTTTTCACTGTTTCATTGGGATCTCCTTATGAAGTCCTTGTTTTTCACTGTTTAATTGGGATCTCCTTATAAAGTCCTTGTTTTTCACTGTTTAATTGGGATCTCTTTATGAAATCCTTCTTTTTGACTGTTTCATTGGGATCTCTTTATGAAATCCTTGTTTTTCACTGTTTCATTAGGATGTCCTTATGAAGTCCTTGTTCTTCACTGTTTCATTGGGATCTCTGTGGTCAAAAGTCCTTGTTTTTCACCGTTTCATTGGGATCTCTTTATGAAATCCTTGTTTTCCCCTGTTTCACTGGGATCTCCTTATGAAGCCCCTGTTCCTCACTGTTTCAGCGGTACCTCGATGGTCATGAAGTCCTCGGCCAGCGTCACCTCCTGTCCATCCAGCAGGGCCTCGGCCTGTCTCCTGAGCTGGCCGAGGTCGGTGCCGTGCCCGGCGGGCCGGTACCGCTGGCTGAAGTGGGTCAGCACCAGCCTGCGGGCGCGGCAGCTCCGGGCGAAGCGCGCGGCCGTGCCGGGCGTGCTGTGCCCGCGCTCCCGTGCCAGCTCCTGCAGGCCGTCCTCCAGCGTGGCCTCGTGCACCAGCACGTCCGCCCCGCGGCACAGCCGCTCGGCCGCCGGCCCCACGGGCCCCGAGCAGTCGCCCAGGACGCAGACCTTCCTGCCGGGCACCGGCGCGCCCAGCACATCGCCAGGAGTCACCGTCGCGCCGCTCTCCAGGACGACGGCGGCGCCGCGCTTCAGCTGCCCGTACAGGGGGCCCGGCGGGACTCCTGGCAGGGAGAGCAAACAGCGCGTGAGTGCTGCACCCATCATCCTCTTACACCAGTGTCTGGGGGAACTCAAAATGTCCCTCACACAGTTTTAGAGGTTCCAGGCCTTGGTCAGAAGCATTTTAGACCCCAGCAGGCAGCTGCAAACAGCTGGGATTTTGAGTTTGAGCCATGGAATGAATTACCAACTTTGGAGGTGGAACAAGCAGTCACAAAAGGTTAGATAGTATAGTAAAAGTAGTTACAAAGTAGAGGGGAAATTTTTTTAGTATTGTACAGGGGGGTTTTAACACCTGTCCAGGGGGGTTTTCACTTTGTACATAGGGATCAGAAGTTCTAAGATGGAGGAAAGCGGGCTGATCCTGTTCTTCCTCCTCCTTTTTCCTTACCTCCATGTTCTTCGTGATGTTGGCACTCACAGATTGGTTTAGAGTAGAAAAACACTTGGCAACGTAGGTAGTAGGTGTTGGGGAATAATTATAAACGTGTTATACATAATATATCTTATAAAAGATAGCAGCAGCCCTGGGCGGAGAGGGAGACGAAGAAGACAGCAGATAGAGAGGATGTCAGGGGGTGTGTGTGCCTCTACCCAGGCCGCTGATCAAATAGCTGCAGTCCAAGAACATAATCTGTTAGATAACTAGCAATAAACTGCCTTGAGACCGAACAGCTAAGCCTGCGGAGTTTTTCTTTGGAAGCACGGGTTGGAGGAGGAATTTCAGCACCACATGAGACCCCAGAGCAAGGCCGGGGTTCCCACAAGTGTTGGCTTTGAAAACACCACTCCAGGTGTGCGGGACACCAAGCTGACTCACTGCGAAAAAGCACAACCGCTCTACAAAAATCGACTGGTGTTTCAGACGTTTTGTACAAATTAAGAGATTGCAACCTTAGCAGGGAGTGTGTTTGGAGAAAATCAGGAATGCTGGAATGGCTGGGGTTGGAAGGCGCCTCAAAGTTCATCCTGCCACGGGCAGGGACACCTTTCACTGTGCTAGAGTGCTTCACCAGGGCTTGGACACTTCCAGGGACGGGGCAGCCGCCGGGAAACCGCTCAGGGAAACCGTATCAAAAAACCCCAATTATACCGCTCCTGCTAAAGTCAAGAAAATCATGCAAATACACTGGCCATGTGTTCTCCTGAAAGCCACGCTGAGCTGTTTAAACTCTGCCTTAAACCTGCGCTTCCCAGCATGAAAATGGTCTGTGATATTCCCTGGCACCGGTGTTATACACCAGTTCAGAGCGCCAAGAAGTCTTCGACAGAAAACGGAAAATTGAGTTAAAACAGGCTGCGGAGAGAGACAGCAGCTCTGATTTGCTACAACACATAGGAAGGTGGTCATAAAAGAAGTAAAAAGAGGAAAAATAAGTCAAAGTAGCTACCGAGGTCTTTCAGTTTCTGCACGTTGAGCTTCCCAGGCCGGGGCTTCTCTTGCAGCACGAAGCCGAAGGAGGGCACGCGGTGGAAGAGGCGGAACGCTCTCACCACCAGCTGCTCATCCTCCAGCAGCAAGTAGGAGTCTTCTCCTGGGTCCAGGTGCAGGACCCTCCCTGGGGGCGCCTGGGGAAGCGCCTCGCCTCGGTCCAAGCCCGAGAAGTCCCTGAATTCTTCCGGGGGGCACTGGTCCCGCGTGGGGACCAGCTCGTGGACGGCGTAGGGGAAGAGGAGCTGGGAGTGGGACAGCTCCAGGCTCCTCCAGAGGAAGCTCCGCAGCCCCAGGGGCCCGTAAATATCAACGGGGGCTTTGCTGGCATCGGGGCTGCTCTGCAGGCTGAGCGTGCACAGCAGCCCAGGAAGTCCGAAAATGTGGTCGCCGTGAAGGTGAGTGATGAAAATCTTGGTAATTCTGGCTGCGGAATGGAACAGGAAAAGACAAAGCCAGGAAAATAAACATTGAAACGACTCAGAAATGATCCGCAAGTGTTTGAAATGAGGGAGGAGGGAAATCAACACCAGTGCTTAACAAACAAATCCCAAACCAAAAGGTATTTCTTTCCCCCTGCACACCAGGGAGATTTTGGCCTGATATGCCAAGAAAAGGCGGCAGAGATGCAAGGGTCAGCTCCTCCTAAGCCAAGCATTCTACGGGCAGGGAATGGGCCTGGCTGGTGACATCTGCACGAGGAATGCAAAGAAGTGCTGGGAAGCATTTGAGCTTAACTCTTACAGGAAAACTGTAGACTAAGGAGGAACACAACGAGGAACTTGTGTTGCTCCTCCTTTTGACTCTAGCCCATGAAACGAACAAAATGAAATTAAAAAAACAAACAAACCAGCACGCAGTTTTGATTTCAGAGTTTTTAAGAGGCAAGAGCCCCGCCACTGCTGACTGGTTTGTTTAAAACAAGAGAGAAAATTGCTCTGTAAACGTCTGGGCTTTCGTTCGTGCCCGGGCTGTGTCTCCCCAGCCAGGATTTCCTCCAGCACCTGCTGGGACTGAGCCACAGGCATGGCAGGATCTCCTCCCTTTTGTTTTAAGGTGAATTCAGGAGGCAATTTCATAGGAATTACTCCACCTACCTGTCCTTAAATTCCCTGACAGGTTTTGGAGGAGCAGGAGCTTGTGTTTATAACTGACAATTCATCTTCACTCCCTGGGAGACAAAGCCAGCTCCTGCCACTGAGGACTGCGGAAGCACAGCGGCTGTGACAGCGAGGTGAGCTTTATTTCTGATTTATTTGCCAAAGGGCAGAAGTTATCCCCAATACACACAGCCTCGCTTGAAGAGAGACATTTACCCACAGGAAGGGTTTATCTAGAGCCGCCTCCAAACAAGAAACGAACCGTTCCTGTCTGCAGCTGAGCCTGATAAATTAATTCAGCGTGTCTGCCGGAGGCAGCTCTCCACCGAGGGGCGGTCAGAGCTGCTGGTGGAGCTGGTGGGGCAGCCCTGCTGTGGGAACCCTTCGCTGGATCCCCAAACCTCTCCTCCATAGGTCAGCCCTGCTGCGGGAACCCTTCGCTGGAATCCCCAAACCTCTCCTCCATAGGTCAGCCCTGCTGCAGGGACCCTTCGCTCTGATCCCACCAAACCTCTTCCCTGCAGGTTGGTCAGCCCTGCTGT